CTAAATACAAAGCAAATGAACCTGATTCAGGATGTCAGAATGCCGGATTATCTACAAAATACGAAGCAAGAAGCATGGAATTATGTAGTAAATAAAGAATTGATAAATAACTCAATATATCTAAATATATCTTATAGTTTTGATTCCTGAAAATAACCACCGTTTGCTCAGGTGTTGTCAGGGTTCAGTTGTGAAATTTCTTGCCTTCTTAGTGGGGTTGAGAATATCGGTTGTTTTCTGCGGAAGTCAGGTTAGTTAGTACACAGCTGACAACCCTATTGGACAGCTGTTAGAAATCAAATTATGGCAAGAACCAATCAGCTGAGTGAAGAGAAACGACAGTCCATCAATACTGTAAGAACTGACAGTCAGTCAATCCGGAAAATTGCTAAAACTTTGAATGTGTCCTCAAGTGCAGTCACAAAAACCATCCGGGGCTACGATGAAACTGTCTCACATGAGGACCGCCCCAGGAAAGGAAGACCAACAGTCACCTTTGCTGCTGAGGATGAATACATTTGAGTCACCAGCCTCAGAAGTTAACAGCACCTCAGATTAGAGAATAGAGAAATGTCACACAGGGTTCCAGTAGCAGACACATCTCTACACCAACTGTTCTGAGGAGACTGTGTGAATCAGGCCTTTATGGTCAAACTACTAAGGAAAAGCAACAAGCAGAAGAGATTTGTTTGGGCCAAGAAACACAAGGACTGGACATTAAACCAGTGGAAATCTGTGCTTTAGTCTGACAAGTCCAAATTTGAAATCTCTGGTTCCACCTGCAGTGACTTTGTGCGACGCAGAAAAGGTGAACGGATGTTCTCTACATGCATGGTTCCCACAATGAAGAATGAGGTGTGATGTTGTCGGGGTGCTTTGCTTGTGACACTGTTGGGGAATTTTTCCCAATTGAAGGCACACTGAACGAGCATGGCTACCACAGCATCCTGCGGCGACATGCCATCCCATCTGGTTTGCGTTTACCATCATTTATTTTTCAACAGGACAATGACCCCAAACACATCTCCAGGCTGTGTAAGGGCAATTTGGCCAAGAAGGAGAGTGATGGAGTGCCTCCACAGTCACATGACCAAAACCCAATGGAAATGGTTTGGGATGAGATGGACCTCAGAGTGAAGCCAAAAGGGCCAACAAGTGCTCAGCATCTCTGGGTACGCCTTCAAGATTGTATGGAGACTTATAGATTTTGTTTAAAAAAAGACAGAGTACTACAGGCGAATCACTGCAGAAACCATAAAAAGACCATCATCAAAGTAAACAGCATTCATTTCTTTCTCCCTTTTCTTTCCCCCAGTCAAGTCTGTCCCGTATTCAGTAAGTGAAAATAAAATAAACAATAAAAGGTGAATCAAATGGACCATTACGGCAAGGCTGGGATGGTCAATTTGGTAAAGTAAATCTGTTGGGCATCTTTCTTCGCCTTTAGACAATAATTCTGATGGCAAAAGAGCCAAACGGGACAGGCAAAAAAAAAAAAAAAAGTAAACAGCATTCATAGGAATCTACCGTAGCAGATTATTTTTTCATTACTTTTAAAAACTGACAGCACTGTGCTGATGATATTATGGCATTTCATCTGTCCTTCTGGCCAGGTCACTTTGGTTTCTCTTTGCGCTATGTCAAATACTTTGATGAAAGGTTTCTGATTATACTTTATAATTTGTGCCGTTAATAGCATTTCATTACATATCCCAGATTAAAAACAACTAATTGGTTTTTCCCTCAACTTATTTTACAAACTAATGAGTATTCATCTGGACTAATTCTCTCTGCTTGACTTCTGCCCCTTCACCTTCTTCTTCCAATGTTTGATCCTTCTCTGGTGTTGCCATTAAACTGGACCAAACTTTCGGTCTCCATCTGTCCATCTGAAGCTTCCCAGACAAAACTCTCATGGCATATACTTGTAACTGAATTACCTTTTTTTTTCTGTTCACGTGTGAAAATGAATGTGATGATGTGCGAAACTGCTGCTAAAACGGCTTTAAGTGATAAATTTATTCTGAAATCTATTCATATCTGTCTTCTCTGATTTTCAAGAACATTTTCCTGCATAAGTTATTAGTCTGGCATCTTCCAAGCCAACCCTAAATGTATATTTCCACACCACAGGTTGACCAAATTGGGAAAACTCCAAAACACTTGAACATATTTTGCTAATGAACTGCTTTTAGCACATTAAAAGCAAAAGTACACACCTAAGTATTTTGCATTGCTGCACAATAAAGGATTACCAAAATGTGCAAAACAATTACAGCAACCTACTCCCTTTGTCTTCTTTACTTTGCTCCTCTTTGTTCACTTATACATCAGACTTGAACTATGATGACCAATGACTGACATCAGTTTGTGATGACCAATCTGTGAGTGTGGGTTTTATGTGTAATTACAGAAGAAAGTTTGAGCGGAGTATTCACCTGGTGCCATTCGATTAGGCTACAAAAGAAGTTCATTTACAACTTCCCTCTCATGCAGAAATAACTGGGCCTGTCAGGATGTAGAGATCAAACATATCTCATTTTGTCACGCTGATTTTAAATGTCAAAGATTAGAGCATTTGCGCATATCTGTAATACATGTGCATATAAATAATCTCGCTAACAATGTACAGAGCTAAAGGCCAACTATATATGCTTGAACAAACCTGTCACTTAAAAATGACTATGGAATGAGAAATTCATACATTTGCACTGGCAAATTAGCAAGAAATTACCTTTTTTTATCATCATAAGAAGGAAATATTTGTACAGCAACTCTCTCAGTGCTAATGCACAATACTGTTTGTGAACTCATTGGCATAACAATTTGATTTAAAAGTTGGATTTAAGCACATTTAGGGTAGTGATTATAATGCATTTCCTCCAAATTGTACTTTTTGAAGCATGCAAATGTATTTTTAGGTGTTAGTGTCTCTGTAGCAAATAAAAATGTTATGTAAGGATATTATCTCTCTTCTCTTAGCAGAGGTAATGGACAATACTCCATCATCCATGACTTTTCTCTTTCTCTCTCTCTCTCTATATATATATACATATATACAAATCTGATCATTTGTCAGCATCAAATACTTAAAATGTTTAATTAATTTAATGGCTAAATCCAAGAAGTTCAGTCAGTCATCCCCCAGTTTAGTCCAGACTGATATATCCACTTCAGTACTGATTCTCTGACATTTTAATTTGTTTGGTTATTACTAAACACCTGAGAAGCATGACATTTCCATCTGCCTCAGGTCTGTATTCAGTGCTATTCAACAAAAATAAATTCAGTTAATTCAGCTTGCATGCAACTGATGCAGCAGAGCTGATCACTCTACTTTCTTTTATTGTTAATGTCATCAGACAATGCGATATATCAACAGTGTTTTATGTGTACTATATTTTTACAGTTTAAAGCTTTGCCAACTTTCTTTCATCCTTCATTCTCATACTCTCATGCCAAATATGAGGAAACCCAGTATTTTATGAGGAAAAAATTGATTGATTAAGTTGGCTTTTTTTAGTCTGATCAGATTTGTTCCATGTTTCACCAACAACAACAGTCCTAGACACCAGAGCACAGAAACTACAGTTTATGGCCATGAGTTGCTGGAGGTGTGCAGACCTGTTGGAGGCTGCAACAAGTTCAAAGGGGATTATTCAGTGCAGGTAGCCTAAAGAACAAACTTCCACATATTTTTGTGTAGTTTAAATACCTGCAGCCTCATAAGATCAAAGGTCACTTTTAGTAAATCTCATCCATTTGTTTTTTTTTAGTGTTTGGTTAAAAAAAGTAACTAATTGTAACTGTATATTGTAATAGCTGATAGTCATTTATGACTTACTTATGAAGATTTAGGCTGTTATTGTTTTGCAGGACTGCATATGACCCTAAGTGCACAGTGGGATGTCTAGACTATTAAAGGCGCCAGTTTGTACAAGAGAATAATCCCAGTATGGCAATATCAGATCATGTGTCGGTGACAAAGAATATTCTACATAAAAGTCCATGTAAAGTGCCCCCCTGCCACACACACACACACACACACACACACACACACACACACACACACACACACACACACACGTTTTTTTCGTAATGCCTGCTATTCAAATTTTAAGAATTTGAAAAGTGTGTGCATTGGGGCTTTTTTTTTTTACATATGTATAAAACACAAGACAAATTTATGAGTATTATTAATTATTTTAATATTATTATTATTTGCCTGTTGTGGTTATCCAGAGCAACGAAACTAGTTTTGACTCAATAGCAGCCTTTTGTTTAAGAAACAGTCACAGGTATCCATTTAAATTCTGCAGATATGTCTGTGTGTTGATGCATTCTTCACCATAAAGGATAACCTTTGCCTGGGTGAGCACAAACCTCCCCAGATCAACAAAATCCCTCCCTGTTTGCTCTTGTAAGGTAAAAATTCATTTTCTCAACAAGCACCTAAGCTCACCTTCTCCCACTGAACTGCATGCTGGGCACTGAGTCATATAACCTCTTTCACCACTGCTTCTGTTAGTCACTTTACTTTGCATCATAAATCCGCCTTCTTCTTTTTATTGTTTGTAGTTTCTTGAGCATAGCAGTGTTCTCTCTCATTGGCAAAGGAATAATGTGTAGCCACTATTGGAACTGACCACTGCAGTCCCTTTATTGGTTGCCTGCAATGCTAATGAGGCACGAATGAAGCTTATTAACGTCACTCTACATGTCAGCGATAGCTAAATGTTACTGTTATTGTTCAAATAGAATTAAACAGCCTTGCAATAAATTCAACTGAAAACAGAAGTGCTAGAATTGGAGATAATTAAGTCATCATGCGCTAATATCATTAGAACATTTAATGTGAACATTTTTGTCGGACTTACCAGCTTAATTATTTTCAGCCAAGCATTAATAGTTTTTGACACGTAGCAAAAGCTACTTTTTGTATCTTCACAGCCCCATTAAGCTGTGCTTAATCTAAGCAAAAACTGAGAAGTAGAACTAACTTGGACAGGGCGCGTTGCAAGTGATCTTCTGTACGGACATGCCCTCGCAGAAGGCCCCGCCATTCAGTGGTGCCGGGTTCGTGCAGGTCCGAGATCGCTTCTGGACACCCCGCCCACATGGCGCATTACAGGCCGACCACTCCGTCCACAGGGACCAGCCGCCATTCACTGGAGAGAGTCCAGCAAAGTTAAGAAAAGAAAAAGAAGTAGAGTGAGGGCACGGCAATGAATAATACTTTTTACTGAACTCTGGCATAGTTAAACACTCTAACAAGAGCTGCTGGGGTTATTAATGATTATGCAGGCTCAGAGGCAGTGCAAGGCAACAATGTATAACGGTAGGAGCAGATTGAGCACAGCGCAATACGCTGGATATACAGCTCCCTGTTTCGTAATTGCTCAGTTCAGTGTTTCTTGCACTTGGATTAAGATAAAGACAAGGAACTATGCGAAAGCAAAGAAAGCAGCCATGAAACGGAAACGTCGTTTCTAAAGGCGACACCGACTCATACTGGTTGACGGGTTTGGAGTCGACCGCTTAGCGTTGTGACTGAAGCACTTTATGATCTCTCTGTCTTTCTCTCTCTCTGCTCAGCAGTGCTATCAAAGCTGGCGAACCCACGTTTCTGGAAGGCCTCTGGCAAATAAATACTTAATAAGCAACACTCCTTTTAAATGAGATTAAGACACACTGGCTTATTTCCTTTCATAAAGTACACATTGATTTTAAATGAGAGGCAGTAAATTGAGTGTTTGAATAATACATTCATCTGAATAAAGAGGAAACATTGCTCTTCAGTGGGAACACAGAGACGGGTCTCTTAATCACTTGTGTATAGGGGCACAGGAAGCCGAACAAATTGATCTGAAGTGCCATGTAAACATTGTGTCACTACTCTGTAATGTGTTGTAGCAGGCAATAAGCAGCTGCTACGATGGCGTACCAAAGACTATCACAGTTGCCGTGGCGCTACGTCTCTTTGCCACAACGTTGCTGGCCAGACAGGTGTAGTTGCCTGAGTCGGACAGGCGCGCTTCGTTGATGATGAGGTTGTGGTCGGCTCGGGTGTCGATGTTGTCATCCGTCAGGGAATTCACCAGCTCTTCATTTTTCAGCCACTCCACCTGTCAAAGAGTGGTAATATAGTACTCATATGAGGAGTGTTTGCAGCAAATATCACTAACATCATAGTTAAGTACAACACACTAGAGCAATTCCACTTAACACCATGTTACATGGGCAGACAAATGGAACCAAGATTTAAAGCAATCCAATAACACAGGAAATAATGACTGATAGCTATGTTGACATGTATTCAAAATAAAGTTTATTTTCTGACAAACAGAAGAGCTTTGGATAGGGTATAGGGGTTAGGGTTGGTTTAATCAAATGGCTATCTTGATTTACCTATTTGAGGCTATAAAAAGAAGCCAAAGATGGAAGAGCCAAAAAATGCAGTTCCTCTCTTTGCCATTTATGGTTAAGTTAAAAAGCAAATCAATCCCCATACACTCTCATGGTAAAGTGCCAAACTTTAGCCTTAAAAACATGTTAACTGCCTTTTATAAACAAGGTCTTTGACCTCAATGGGTAGTTTCCCCTTTCATCAGAGCTTTACGGTGGGGGGATTTAAATACTGCTTGGGATTAAAGTTAATGGACAGGTTTGCTAACACAGGCTGCTCCAATCAGGTGCTAGGCCTTAGTTCTGTGTTACTAAACTAGACTATGTTTGTGCTGTTGGTACCTTCTAGAGCATTTTCATATGTGGGGTACAGCCCACCCAAGACGTTTATTCTTGAGTTTTGGTGATAGAGATTTTAGCACTTTATCAGTCTGTAGCTTTTTACTACTTAGCAGCTATGCTAACCAGGTTTGCTACCTTTTCCTGATGACTTGGTAGTCCACCCTCTGATCAAAAAACAAACAGAAAAAAACAAAACAAACAAGCAAAATGCTGCGGCTTAAAAGTTGAGAAACTAATGGAATAGCTTACGCTGTAGGTTAGATCTTTTTGACCAGGATATGTGGTTGAATGCACATGTTAAACAAATATGTAGGACTCCTTTCTTGCATTTGTGCAATATCCCTAAAGCTAGAAAAATCCTGCTCAGAGTGATGCTGAAAAACTAGTTCATACATTAATTACTTGTAGGCTGGACTACTGTAATTCATTATAATCAAGTTGTCCTAAAACCTCCATTAAAAGTCTTCAGTTGAGCCAAAATACTGCAGCAAGAATGCTGGCAGGGACTAGAAAAAGAAAGGGTAATTCTCCTATATTAGCTTCCCTTCATTGGCTTCATGTTATATCAACAATTAAATTTAAAATTCTTCTCCTTACAACAAGGAATAATCAGACCTCATAGTACTGTGTCACCCCAGTAGAGTACTTAGCTCTCAGACTGCAGCCTTACTTGTGGTTTCTAGAGTATTTAATAGTAGAATAGGAGGCAGAGCTTTCAGGCCCCTTTTCTGTGGAACCAGCTCCCAGATTGGATTCAGACACCATCTCTACTTTTAAGATTAGGCTTAAAACTTTTGTTTTTGAATCCTCCCTTAGCTAAGCTGCTATAGACCTTCCCATGATTCACTGAGTGTTTTTTCTTCACACACCTCTTTTCACTCTCTGAGCTAACACATCACTCTGTGTTTTCTTCCTACTGTTGCCAAGTAATTGGTCACTTTACCTTTCAATACAAAGTGCCTTGAGGTTTACTGTTGTTGTGATTTGGCAATATATAAATGAAAACGAATTGAATAGAATTAGATTTGGGTTAAAATAGACATTTTCACAGTGTTAACCACATGCAAACCTCCGTTTTCCATTTAACTAAATTGTCTTGTGGCGACTCAAATTTTACATACTTTACTATAAACATAATACATTTATACAAGTCCTTTATTACATTTATTAAAGGACCCCTATTATGCTTTGCTTCTCTATTCCTGGCTCTTCATGCTGTCAGTGACTGAAGACATCCACAGAACACACAGAAGCCCTGCTATTCATATCCTTTTCTTGCAAGGGGCAGCCTGTCAGAAGAAAGTTGGTTTAAAGGGCAGAAATGCTAAAACAATGGGTCTAAGACAGATAAATAAGATTAATAGACTGCACACTTCCTGTCTTGAGCACTGGCTCGACATGGTGAACCAACACTTTGTTTGTTTCGAGCATACTGAACCCTCAACGTGCAAATCTTAGTAGCAGATCCTGTATCTGGATTCAGCACCCCTAAAAAAGCCCAGCAATACACATAACTGCTGATCAGCTACATTTTACAAGGCCCACCCTGCCGATTAGCCACAACTAGGCAGTATAACCACTAACGCTAAAGCCATTAGGCAGTCAAAGGATGTGCTATAACCAATTACCAGCAACAGAGAGGAAAACTAATTATGAATTACAAACTTAGTGACGCTTTACTGCTTCTACCCTGGTAAGGGAGCTGCATCGCTGCATTTGCAAATTACATTCATAGCGCAGCAAAATGGGCTGGGCTGATGGATTTATAGGAAGAGCACAGGCAGCCACCCTTTATAATAAACAACACTCAGGCTGGATGCAAATAGGAAGCGCCTGTGGGCATGCAAACACTGGGTAAATAGAAATGACACACAGACCTGAGGGATGATGGATTGCAGGTATATATTGACATGAATAAAAATGATAATGAACGTCATAACATAGTAATCATTTCTCTCATTTTGTATTTTTCCGAACTTCTATTTCAACCAGTTGTGCCACTCCAAGTTAGAATGAGAATTTCTCTTTTTTTTTACAGTGCGACTGAGGGCCTGCAGATTTTTCTGTATAATTTAACACTGGCCTCTAACACAGGGGGTTTCATCAGAGGTTAAGCGGCCTAGCATCGTTAGATAGATAAGAAAACAGAGAGTAAGAGGAGCAGGGCAGGGGATGGGGTCTAATTTCTCATGATTAAAGTCATCCGTCACTGAAGGGATGACACGAGTCCTGGCACCCTCCCACACCACACTACATCCATCCCCCCCACCACCACCACCACCAACAACTTTTTTTATGTATTTATTTCAATTTTACCCTGTGGGGGAAATCCGTGACTTGAAAGAGGCAATTAATGTGTGGCACGAGCTGGCCCTCCCAGTGTGGGGCCACACTGCACATTAGCTGTCTGTCTGCCACTAACAGCCCTTGGGTACTGATGAAAAGATTCACCAAGCGGAAGAGAAGGGAGGAGAGAGACAGAGACAAAGAGAGGGAGAGAAGGAGGAGGTGATGGGGGAAAAAGATGAAGGGACAAATACAAATTAGGCCAGTGGTTGTGTGGTAGAGGATGTGAGGAATGAATTGCCTAATTGGCACATTTGTTTCACTTAGGATGCGGTCATCAGTGTCAGCCCTGACAGAGGGGTTACCAGGTGGGCCCCCGGCATCAGGACTTCCTTCCTGTGATTTCATTACCCGAATTGCCCCTGAAGGTCACGTCCTCACAGCAGCCAGGTTCCCTTATCTACTTAACTACCCACACACATACACATACACAGCTTATTCTTGATGACATTTCCTGATGATTAGATGCTGAGAAATGTGGGTGTCGAGGGGCAATTAGAGGACAGAAGAGCAATGTAAACGGGTGACACTGTAGCCATCACCAAGACTTATGAGGACAGTGCTGATCAAGTCCTTGCCAGCTGAAGCATTTTTTCCCCTCTGTTCGTGTGTCTCATTGCTTGGCTCTAATGGTCATTTGATGTCAAGGTGACTCAGTACAAATGGAGTGCTTCAGTGCCCTAAGGAGGAAAATCTGTCTGCTGAGTCATGCTTAGGTGTCACAATTTAACATGATCTCCTTCCGCCTGTGGGTGACTCTTACCTGCCTGACTGTGGGAAACAGAAGTTTTCCTCTGCTGAGCATCTCATCAGTGCAATTATATAGATTAAGTGTGCCACCAGGCATATCCCTGGTGATCACGTGACACCAGCAAATCAGAGTCCTGGCTTCAGGGCTGATCCTCCCAATAGATCTCTCCGTCCACCAATCAGCAGGCCTTGTCATTAAAAGTATGTGTGCATCCACACATACACACAGATACACTTTGAACTCAGCATGACATGCTGTGTTCATCCGAACAGTCAGCCTGACAGCGGCAGGTTCATTCGGAGGGGAGCTATCTGCAGCTCTGTTGTGCTCTCCTGCTCTGGAGGTTAATCAAGAATGATACGTGGAGAACAGAAAGTGGGTCTGCATCGCCCATCCCCTCTCCCCTGTTGCTTCCCAAATGCCACCTCTCCTCCCCTCTGAGCTACAAGGCGCTGCATTACTATTCCACCTCGATCTGTCTTATCTTAACGAAATAAATAGAGGGAGCGCCCGGCTGCGGCCTGGGCCGGGAGGGATGTAATTGCTCGGCTTAATAATGAAGCTCATCATCTGCTCTCTAGGAGCTTTTCTCTGACCTATGAGAAAATAACAGAGGAGTCGGATGTGAAAGTAGAAACAAGTGCAACAGAGGCGGGAGGTGGGATAGAGTTAAATGCTAACTTGTTTTCGGAGCTGCATCGCAATGTCTTTGTGAAGCTCACCAGAGGAGAGCTTGTATCACGGTGCAGGAGCATTTAGTTGATGCTCCTTTGTACTGTGGCCTGTCTACCTGAGCTACTGTAGATCAAGGGGATTCATCCTGGATTAAAGGCTTTCATTCAGGGAAGCTGAAATTGGCTTCCAGTTTGGCTGTTCATTTCACACTTTCTCTAAGAGTAACCTCTCAAAAGAAACTCATTATACAAGGCTCTCATGGACCTCTTTTCTCCCCAAGTTAAAAGATCTACTCTGCATTCACATCTCCTGATATCTGTGAACTACAAGTGGAGAATTGGTCTTGGATCGGGAGCCGTGAAACAAAATTGCAAATAAGTTCCTTCTATGTTCTCTAACCATAGCCAAATTAATTTCAGCTCTCTGAATATGAGATATGAAGGTATTTTGTTGCAAAAAGACCCCATAGAAAGTTACATTTTGATGCTTACATTTATTTTGTCCCCCTGAATTCATAAAAAGACACCAACAAAGACTTTACTTTTGATTAAGTCTTAAATGGATGTCTGAGCATTAAAGGCTGAATCTGTTTTCTTTACAAAGAAA